TATATGTATGTATGTATGTAATTTTAAAAGAATAGTAGAAACTAGAAACAAAAAAGAAAAGAAAAAGCTTAAATTAGTACGAGACAATTTAAAAAATATAAATTTATGGTGAGGATAGTTTTGTTATGAATAAATTAATTTTCTGCTTCTGCTTCTACTTCTTGGAAGAAGCTGAAATATTCTACTTTTTCCCAAATGTAGAAAAGTCGCTTCTGCGGCTCGCCAAAAGTACTTCTTTATCTTGGCCAAACAACTTAAATTTTTTAAAAAGTATTTTTTTGAGGAAAAAAGTACTTTTGATCTCTGAAAAGCTTGGTCGGCTCTTAGAAATGAATAATATTCTCTTCTTCTATGAAAATGTGTCATTAACGAGCTAGTTTATAATTTTTAGTTTTACCACGCTTTAAAGATAACTATAATAGATACTCCTAATCTGTTTCATCCATACTTTGTAGTCGTCTCCAGTCTAACATTCCATATACTAAACATTATTTTAAATCTCATCACGATAAAGGATCACTTTTTGCTTTTTAACAATTTGAAATAAATTAATTATCAAAGCATAAGAATCAAGCTCTAAGACTACCGGCATGCATATTTATTGAAAAAATTCAGCATGGTATCCTTAAAATGCACACACACATACACATACATAAATTGCAATGTGAAACGTCTCTGTTTATTCTCATTTCTCATTGTCATAACATTGTCATAACTAATTCCCGTGTAAATATAGATGCGGATTTAGAATTTAAATTTTATGGGTTTAACCTTTAAAATTTTTAGCATTGAACTCATTATATTTTTAAAGCTATAGGTTCAAATCTAGCATTTGTTGCAATTTAGTAGATTTTACACATAAATTTATGTTACGCATTGAAAGTTACGAATTCAGTTGAACCGGTCACCTATACGCTACATACGCCCCTGTGTAAATGCATACTTTATTAGCAATATTCGCAAAGTCCACAACCATTATACACACCTAAGGGTGGCAAACGAGCGGATCGGGTGGAGTCGGATACGAGCGGGTCAAAATGGATAATTTTAAAAAACGAATAAATCATCCGACCCAACCCGTATTTGAAACAGATAAAAACGGGTTTATCCAGCGGATAATATGGATATCCATATTGTCCATGACTTCTTAAATATCTTATGAGAGAATTCTCAGTCTTCCAAGCTTGAGGAACTTCAATTTGAGGCTTTACAAATGTAAAAGTTAAGCACATTAGTTATCCATTGGTTAACCATTTTCCAAGTGAATAATATAGTTATTTATCCATATTCGACCCATTTTTAAATAGTTCATTATCCAACCCATTTTTAATGAATAATATGGGTGAATAACCGTTTTCTTTTAACCATTTTGCCACTTATATACACACCTAAACCTACCTTCATTATAAGACTAGTTTTCCTTGCATGTATCTGGTTTTTACCTTAGGATAGATGAGTTTTCATATTATAATTCAATTGCACCAATCTAAATAATTTAAGAGAACTAAGAGGAGATAAAAAAAGACTTAAAAATTTTAAAGGAAGAAAGAATAAAGCTAACGATGAAGCGCGAAAGATCATATCAAACATTATTATAGCATTGCAGATCATGAAAATCTAGTACAACAACAACTATCATTATTACATCGTAATCCCTAACTAATTAGAGTACAGGTAGATTATGCAAAATTTATCATTCTTAAAATGATAGCGTTAAATTGTTTGCTATCAAGCCAAAATAATTATATCTCATATTCATATTCATTTATAAATTCCAAGCTCACTGTATCGAAATATGAATATGATCTACTATGATGAGGCGCACCCACTTTTTTCCCCACCTTTTTTACTAGTTACTTTAGGTCTATATAAATAGTCAGCAAGCTATTAAGAAAATATTTCTATATTAGAACACCAATCTGTAAATTCGATAATATAAAGGGTTATTAATACATAAATTAGATCAATTAAAATAAAAATATCTTAAATTAAGGATTTATGCAACAATCATCGTTTTTTTTTTCTGCTTTCAAAACTTTTATCCTTTTAAAATCTACCTCAAAAGATGACTTCAAAGTTGTAAGATGCACATCGTCAGATTAAAGAGTAATCTAATCGTACGGCTGGAAAGAGTTGTAGTTTCCTAAAACCTCCAACCACTAACCAAGTGTAAAACCTAAATTTTATCGGTCTCTTCATTTTTTTGGCCATTGTGGGGCCCACCAATCTTAAAATCACCTTCCTCACATTTTCGTTTTTTGTTAATATATATTAATTTTTCTTACCTCAGAAGTCTCTTCCCACCGTACGAGCTGACGTTAGTCAAAAAGGATCTGAAGAGCAGGATACGGGCACGTACACGTGAGAGCAGAGAATCCAAACCCGGATTCGTTTTCACAGATTAAACCGGATTTGATAAACCAGGTGATACGTCCGGAACTTTGGTAGTAGTAATTCGAGATAGCTTCATTCATGCCGGTTCTCGGTCAAGCAAAAGCGCCACCATTCCAATTCCGAAGAAGAGAGAGAGCGTCATCCGCCGCCGCCGTCGAGTTTCTCTCTCTGAAACCCGCACAGATTCATCTAATCCTTGTAAGATTTTTTTGTTAATTTCTCTTTTGTGAATTGACTTTTTTATTTATTAATAGTATTTGGTGTATAATTTTGATCAAAGTTATTTCAGGTTTGCTGATTTTTTCTTCACTTGCAATATGATTCAGATCAATTATTAATTGGATATTTCAACTGCTACGGAGTAACTTCTTGCAGTTGTGTGTATCTACGGAAGGGGTATAAAGATGGATTTGGTTGCTAGTTGCAAGGTAATTAGGTTTTAATTTCTTATCATTTTGCATTTTTTTTGGTTGAACTGCTAATTTTTTCATTTTCTGGTGCTAATTGTGAATGTTGCTTAGAGTAGTTTAATTTTCATATGTTATGGTGGATTGACTCTTTCTTGAAGTAATGAAATGCTTAGATAATTTTAGTATAATAGTATAACTAGTTCTGGATGATAAAGGTTTAGGAATAGTGATTGGTAAGTGTGTAAATGTTGAAAGAACAAACTAAAATAGAGCACCCACGGGTGTGACTTAGTGGTCAATGAAGTGGTTGAGAATAATTCTTAGGTTAGAATTCCAGCGGAGGCAAAAATACTAGTAGGTGATTTCTTCCCCATGGTCAAGTCTTGGTGGACAGAGTTACTTAGCATCTAGTCTCGGTGCACTACGCTCGCGCTATGCACGGGGTCCGGGGAAGGGCCGGACCACTCCGTGGAATTAGTACCATGTTAAAAAAAAGGGAACAAACTAAAAATAGAAAAGGGCCTAAGCCTTGATGAGTAGTATTACCCGGTAACTGTATTGGTAGGAGGTAGCAGGTACTCTGCGGAATAATTGAGGTGTGCGCAAGATTATCGGACACCACCGTTTCAAAAAGAGAGTAGAAAAGGAAGATGCCCGAGAATGTGAGCATAGTGATAATCCCGTAAGTGGTCTGTCCTG